GTGATCAATATTCAAAATAAGAATGTGATTTTTTATGATAATTGTGTCATTCATTGAAAGAAGAGTTGAACTCCATATATGTAAAATTTCAATATGCATATTTATTTTTGGAAATTTTTTGCATACATTTTAATCATATTTGATGGTTATTATTATCTAATATAATTTTTGAAGATATACTTTATTTTTGCATTGCAAAACATGAAAACATGTTGAATTATAAAGTAACAAACAAAGAAAACACAAATAAATCATAAAACATTAATTACAATAGCTGACAATATGCATATAATTACATCTGTGTATCTATATATACACACATATACGTCTACATGTAATTTGATCAATTTAATTTAAACAATTCTATTTAATTAACACAATATTAAATGTTAATAATAATCTAACAACCTTATCACTATTATTTTAAGTTATTTTTAGAATGAACATTAGATTTATTTGTAAAACAGCAAGTTCAAACGTTGTTCTTGTCCAGAACATTGGTAATATATCACATCTTCACACTCAATATGGAATTACACACAGATATTATGACATGCCAACAAAGCATCATATGAATGCATGCACAAATGAAAACATGGCATTTAGAATTGGCAAACCTCAATAATGTACTGCTTAAATATATAAACATAAGTAAGTACACAAAAAATTAAAATTTAGTTGGGCACAAAGGGAAAAAAATTAAAGAAAAACCAACAACAGCAATTAATTATAATGTATCTACTATTTTATATGAGAAAAAATAATTATACTCAACATGTATCTATTTTTAATTTCAAATTTCATACACACCAATAAAAAAGCTAAACACAAACATCTTATTTTTCCTTTTCTCTCTCTCTCTCTCTCTCTCTCTCTCTCTCTCTCTCTATATATATATATATATATATGTGTGTGTGTGTGTACATAGATGTACATTGTTTTGAATCCTGTTCTTATTATAATTTAAAGGTTTCAATCAACTTTTATACAATCATAGATTATCTTTATTCATCAATTATTCAAACATCATTCTTACTGCGTCTAGTTTTCAACAAAAAAAACATATATCTTTACATATAGATATATATATATATATATATATATATTAACAGTCTTGTTATGATGTTTGTTGTAGTTTATATATTGGTGACTATATGTATATGTTTGTATAATTTGACCATCATATACTAGTATTTTTTTAACCAAATTTAATACCAATTTTAAAGCTTAACAAAAAAATTCACAATAACAATAAAAATAAATTTAATATCTTGCATTTGATTTTTAAAAATTGTTTAAATTTTTTTAAACACTAATCATATTTATTAAAGTAAATTGATAAAGATTGTATACTCCACTTTCTACCAAAATAGAAATAGAAAATTTAACAGTTGAATGTTACAAAGAAAAACGTCATAATATAACTGAAAGTAATGTTTATCTTTACAATGTCCTGCCAGCTTGGGCATTACTTATGAAACATAAATCTATTTTCATACTCAAGGCCTGCTTAAAAGTATTCATACTCTATATAGGTGAAATGTTTTTGATGGCATCAATACATCATTTACCATAACCATTGTAATGCCATTCTAGCTATTTAGTTCATTTTAGCACCAACAACACTTTAAAAAGAAAAAAATAAAAAAAATAAAAAAATATCCTAGCTAACATTTGTGTAGTTGTAACTCAAAAATTTATTTATTTACTTGTTTTTTTATATTTTTTTAAATGCACTCCATATTTTCATAAGGTACATCCAGAATACGTTTAGCCTTTGACAGATCCACTCATTTGTTATAATTTTTTCTTTTTCTTTTGTGGGCCAAAGTAAAATAAAAATAATTTTGTTGTTTTGCACATTTCCATCATTAAAGTCTCATATGTTATTTTTATATGGCCAGGGCACAACATTTAATAATAACGCTTTTTGAAGTTATTCCCCATAGATACCACAAAATTTAAAATTTTATTTCAAGTTCTTAAATTTACATTTTGCATTTACTAGAGATTGTGGCTTTTTTGAGTGCTTTTGTTTGTGAGTGATTGATTAAAACTTGTGTAGTATATTTCATGACACATTATACTGAGCGTGTGATATCATTTTTTAACTTATCTTTTACTAAACATGCCTGTTGTATAACTAAATTATTTAATATTTTTTCCATCTTTTATTGAAATAATAAAACATCTAAAATCAATATCTACCTAAAGTGTCCAAAAATACTATTTTAATATTTTTTTAATATTTTTAAAATTTTTGGTCTTTTAATTTAATAATTATTTTTAAATTTAGAAATTTAATATTTATCAAAGATGTCAAAATTTTAGATTAATTTTTAAAAAATTCTACAATCAAATATATAAATTTTTGTCAAAGTTCTAATCAATACAATTAAGTACAGAAAAAAAAAAAAAAAAAAAAAAAAAAAACCTTTGTTTTTTTTAAATAAAAAAAAGTAAACTCATTCTTATTATATATATATAGTTAGTTAGTTAGTTAGTTAGTTGTTGGTTAGTTAGTGACATATAGTACTTGAGCTTTTGGCCAAAGAAAAGTTCAAGTAAAGTTAATTTATTTTGGAAAGAGAGTAAATGTGTTTGTTATTTCAATTGTTGTTAAAAGAAACGAAAAAAAAAAAAAAAAAAAAAAAAAAAAAAAAAAAATTGCAAGTCTGCCATTGTGGTTATTATGATATTTTGTTATAAACAACATTCTACATCAATCTAATATTTTTTTATGTGCTATGTTCTAAAATTACTATAATATTGTGCAATATAGATGCTTATAAGAATTTAACATATAACAAATAATGTATGCAAAAGATGCTTTTATTTAAATTAATACCAACTTTTAGCAAATTTGTTCCTTGTTGAAAGTCGTAGCAAATGTAACATATTTTGGAGATGGTAAAAATAAAGTAGACATAATTTTAGAATAAATTAAAACAAAATCAATAACAAGAATTGAGTAACAATAAGTTCTTTGAATATTATGATACAATGAAAAATATTAAAAATCTAAATTATGGATTTTTAAAAATAATTCCTAGAATCTCTATTGTAACTCAAATCGTATATTATTATAGATATATTAAAATATTTTTTGGATAAGCTAAAATGATGGTTTAAGTTATATTATAATAAAAAAATTATTGTTTAATATCTCAAAACATTCATACACAATGCTCAATATTTTTTATAATATTCAGAAATCCTAAAAGTATAATTTAATCAAAAATATAATTTTGGAATATTTTATGTTTTATTTTATTTTAAACCCTTATAATTTACTTTTAAAGAAAAAATAGAATATTATTACTCAAACAATGGTCTATAATATGCCCACAATAATGCTACTTAATTAATGTAGCTTTATTTTTTAAGTTATATAAATTCTCCTTCAATGCCTAATAAATAAAAAAATTATTTCAATTATTTGTAAACTAAAATTTTTATAATTTTTTTACTTTAAAAAAATTAAATGTGATATTTTAGCACTTTATGTATTTTAAAAGTCAAAGTAATAAGACATTGTTCCATGAACTTTATTATATCTTGTAAGTTCGACTACAACACAAATATTATATATACATATATATATATATATATATATTTATTAATTAAATTGAACCAAGCATTTACTAAATTGACCCACCCATCTTGATCATCATCAAAAATTTCTCCATTGCCAAATCTATATGGATTGAAAACCATTGAAAAAATGATTGGATCCACAATCAATAATGATGGATGGATTGATTTAGTAAATGTTTGGATTAATTTAAATATATAGATAGGGGAATAATAAAGCGACCCAAATTTTTACTAAAGCAATCCACTCTATCTTAACCATCACTGCATCCTTGCAACTGCCATCTTTATTCCCAACTGTTCTTTGTTTCCAACGATTGCTAAGGATGAGGGTAGGGGATTGGGAATAGGAGTGGGACCCAGAAATGTTGGGAATAGAGGTGATGATTGGGAATATGGGAATGGCGGAGAATGGAGATGGAGTTGAAAGGGTACAATGATGGTTTAAACATGTAGATTGGTTTAGTAAAATTTTTGGTTGCTTTATCATTTTCCTCTATATAAATATATATATATATATATATATTATTTTTCATTAATGTGATGTACATAATTAGTTGTAAAAACATACATGTCTCCTTGTGCTGCTTTGACTAAGTAGTTATAAAAATCTTAGCTACAATCCAAAACTATGTAGATTCCTATTCCATTGTTGTCATAAAGACTTTTGAAAGGTGATTTAGTGTCACCTTAATGATTTTACTAATTTGTCTAGAAAATAGTTGCAAGTCATATTTATACGCATATTTAATTAAAAAGAATAAAAAGAAGATAGGGATGATTTTTGAAGAATAAATATTTCAACAACATTTTTTTTATAAATCAGATGATAAGTAGCTTCAATCATTTATGAATTTAAAAATTAGAAACTGGTAAATTTTGTAAATCAGTATTCAAAATTAATAATTTGTTTCTTAAAAATATGCTATATGGATATATAAAATACAATCTAAGAAAATGTTATTATATAGAATATGTTATAAAAACATACTATTATACATAATGTATGTATTTGAAATATTAATGGAATTTTTACTTATTACAATAAGAGAAAAGCTATGTTTGCATCCACAATTATCACCAAGCTATGTTTGCACCAATGCACAATAAGTAAATAAAAATAAATAAATAAATATATGCATTTTTATTTTTAATATGTGGCCATTTTAATTATAAAATCACAATAAAATATATTTAGAAGAAATTATGTAGTATTTAAGATGTGATAACACGATCTTCGGAGTGAAAAAGATGATTTAACAACCAAAGCTAAATGCAAGACTTGTCCTTACACGGTTATAGACTATTGATTTCTTGGGGAATTCAAAATCGGATTGGGAAAGAACATCCCTTTCACCGTGTGTCGACCCAACACCGTGGGGTTTCGTCAGTTCCCGCTCTTTCGCTTTCCGCAATTCGGTGCTTGCAGTGCAGAGGGATCTTTTGGCTATGGCGTCGCGGAGAAGGGGGCTTCGCTTCGAAACCAAGCTGCATCTCTCTCTCACGAGCTTGCATCGAGGAATCGATCAGCAGGCTTGACTCGAAGGATTGCATCATGGAATGCGGTTGTGCTTGAGTCGAGGAGATTGAGCATCGAGAAAAAGAGGCAAAGTTAGGGAGAGAGAGAGAGAGAGAGAGAGAGATAAAAGGTTGCAGAGCTATGGAAGTTGATACGCGCGACAAGATTCTTGCGATGTACCCTGTGCATTTTCTAAACTTCGACAAGGATGCCTTCACTGCCGATGTCGTCAACGCTGTAAGATTCATGTGTAAGGGATTTTAGGTGGCAAGTTCTGGTGTCAATGATTTGGAAGACACAGACGGCACTTTTGTTTTTTCTTACCTCGCGTCTTTTATTTTGCTAGCGTTGTGGCATTTCTTTGCGTGGGTGCGGCGTTAAGGAAGTGAGCAGGAAAATTTCCTAGTTTTTCAGAAGTAAATTCGAATGCGCTGTGCAGTTTTACGGAGAACAAAATTAATTCTTGTGGGTCAATAAAAGTGTGCATGATCTAGATCACGCCGACCTTTTTTTTTTTTTTTTTGCCGTATTTGAGTCATTCAATTCTCTTGCTTAGACGAATTAGGCATAAGGGAGAGTTCAGTCAGGGCTTCAAATGTCATACAATTTTGACTTCTCCAATCATCTTCAGCAAATTATGTTTCTGGCTGTTCTAATTCGGAAGCAGGTGTGTGTAATTATTGGCGCTTCAGGTCATTGAAATTTCCATGAGCAACTTTACTGAGATGGAAAGGTATATGCTACATTCTGCCATTTTGTTGTTTCGTTTATATTGTTGGTTTCCTACCACACGAGTCGACTTTGGGCGTCCTCAAGAAGTAACAGTTAGTCCTTGTTTCTATTGGTGTTTTTGAGTTCACTTCCTAATATCGTCATGACAACAATGAATCCACAGGAAATTATTACCTGTGTGAACTTCCGAGTACTCATTTTATCAACAAACATCGGTTAGTGAGATAAATTTCACTTGAGAGTTTGGTGTGAACACAAAACCCTCAAGTAATATATGTCATTGCCATGAAAATTTCAACTTACTTGGTAGTTTTGTGTGTGCATGCAGGTGTGCTACTCGAATGCTAAACATTACCAGCACGGAATCTCAGGAAGCGTTGCAACAGGTACCTTGTGATCAAGGCTACTCAGTATTATATGAAATTGCAAAATGAAATAGAATTAGCTGCAGTCTTGTCGCACGGTTTGTTATCTATTCCAGCAACCACGGTCACTGTTGGGGTGCATTCCGTAAACCTTCGATAATAACTACGTATTTCTAGGGCGTGGTTCTGCTGGCGAAGGGTTTGTATGAATTTCTAGTAAATGCTAAAATGATGTTCTTGTGGTGAAATATCTCGGAATGGATATAATGATATTTTTTAGGGATTATCTGCCGTTTTTGAGAAATTTTTGAGCAAGTTCATCGAAGAAGATCTTGCGCCTTGGGAGGCTTACTGCAGGGAGGTTTGTTTTAAAGTTCCAGACGGTATGGTCTTGCCCGAGAAGGTGAGTGTCCAGTACCAGAAAGTCGTAAGTAAGATTGTTTAGCAAGAGGTTGTTGCTACTTTGCTGCAAGAATCGTTGCCATCAATTTGCTTCTCTCTGCATCTATCCATAGCAACTGCCCATGATTAATGTTGCTTCGTCAACTTTGATTTGAACTTGCTAAAAATTTGTTCTATGATTCATTTTCATTTTCAGTTCTACTCACCTCAATGTACCGAGGTTCGATCTAAATTTTGCAGTTGGATGCATCCGTAGTCGCAATGGAAGACGCGGATGCTAAGCTGGACGCTGAGCTGATTAGTCTTCGTGAACGAAAGGCTACTGCAAGTCTCTTATACCCGACCGAATTTTTACTTGGCATCGTATACGTTAAATGGATGTGCGTGCATGGTGTCTGCTATCTGATGTTCTTCGTAATGGAAGTTTTACTATCTTTATGAACGGCTGTCGTGCGGCTTTAAATCTTCTTATTATGTCACTGCAGGCTGAAAAAGAAGCAGCCGAATTACGCAGAGATGTTAAGGCCCTGGAAGCCCTTGTGGAAGCGAAAGCTAATTTTATGGATGCCTTCGACCAGCTGCAGAATCTTCCTCTTGTTGATGGTAAGTACTGTCGGTCTCTATCCAGTTTTTTGACGTCAATGAAACTTATCATTTAACGTGCAAAGGAAGGGGATAGAAGAGCTGTTTTCCCCAACCCTTCTGCCCTGCTCCTTAACACAATAGTAGGTGATCCTAGTTCCTCTATGCAGTCTTTCATGATCAGAAACTCAAATTCGAACATTTTATTTAAACTACCCGACATGCGTTGTTTGTATATTGTTTACTTCGTGACAGATTTGGGAAATGTGGTCCGTGAATTGCGGAAGAACGTTGAAGAGGCAAACGCTCTGAGAGCACAAAGATATCAGAGATTGTTTCCTGCTGATACAAGCGATGCACTCTAAGATCGAAGCTCTCTAAAGAGAAGGTCCTTTAACCATCCTATGGAGTAGTCCTACAATATTAGTTCCACAATATTAAGAAAGGTCGTTCGTGAATGAAGGGCACATGTTCCTGGTTCAACCTTGACTAGAGATACAATTTAGTAACTATCTAAATTTATGGAATAATTTGCTTAGTGGTTCTGCTTACTATGACTAAGGAAAAGGGGAAGATCCACTTTGTGTGGCTGAACTCTAGTGACTAGCATAAAGTCCATCTCAGTACTGTTCAGCAGACCGTCGTCAGCATGGTTTCTCTATGGTTCCTAACAATTACAGTGGTTCTATTAGTTATTCGAAGGAGGAAAATGACAGACGTGAAATAGGGAGGCAATGCACAAGCTCAGAAACAGACATAGGTTGGATGGTCTTTAGTCCGCAATGGTTGGCTTTCTGAGCTTTGAATCCTTAGTTTGCTTCCGAAACTCGTGTCACAGCCTCCATTGCTGCTTTTGTTACTTCTCAAGTTGCGATTTAACTGCACTCACAAATAATGCTCGAGCCTCAGCTGAAATCAGGATCGGACATTTGTGATGAGCGTGTTCTAAACTTTCTGGAGGCTTGCAGTGGAGAGCGGAAGAGAAGAATATTCAACCGAGGGCGAATAATGGCGGTGTTGGCATCGGCAGTCGAAACTCAATATGACAATTCACGTGACGAGTCTGTCAAAACCAAGTTTGAAAGGAATCGTTCAAAAACTGCCGTGCTATGGCCGTGACGCATGCGGCAGCCAATGCTCTCACTGCAGCACTGTTACATAGCTTTGGCAAGTTTGACGGCTTTTGACGTTTTTGATTCCATTGCTACATCTCAAGGGAACGAAAATTTTCACTGGAATAAATCTTTCCACTCTCCGCTTAATCATAAACGTGAGGATCAACTGCTTTGGTGAGTTGGTGCACGCTTTTTGGTTTTTGGTTTTTGTTTTGTTTGTTTGTTTTTAATTTTAAAAAATTACATTCCAAAAATTTATTGGGTTAGGCATCAGTATACTTTTGCAAATATATAAACACTAGGCAATAGTGTGTTTTTTTTTTTTTTTTTTTTTTTTTTTTTTCTGTTTTTTTCTCTTGGTGATTTTTTTGATGCTCTTCTGCGTGGTTAAGAATTAAAATGTTCATTTGAAATACTTTATTTTGAAGTTACCTCCACCAATGCTTTTGAGCCTTACGTAATTAAAATGCGAGGTCATGATAAATGTAAGCGTTACCAGCGACAATCTTATCTACGATGGGGCATTCGAAATTCCTTATTTAGAGTAGATCACCAAAAATTGTTGGCCATATTTCGTGAAAATTGAGAGTATTCCTTGTTGAAAATTGCGTAATATGACAATAAACAAACTTACTGGTAGAAATCCTGGATTACCGGGATGGTAAATGAACTGAGTTTTTGCTTTTACAATGATCGTCTTTCTAATTTTTTTCACTTCATTGAGAACATCACAAAATCAACTTAACGGTGGGGAATTGCTTTGCTAGCCCTTCTACTTCATGTTTCAACTTTCCAATCTAGGCTTGGATCTGGGGATCAGTGTCGACTGCATTCCTGAAGTCCTTCAACCTCATTTCTGTGACCAAAAGTAAAATAATATTAAATAATGTAAATCAATGACAATGTTCTCTAGGTTGAAGAGGGCGAATAATACAATTGGCATGTTCAAGTTCTGTTGAGAATGTTTAGAAAGACACAAGAGTAATAGTAAGTAATACACACACACACGAGTAGTAGTAAGTCATACACACAAGAGAATTTCTAAGAAGAGAGAGCATACATAAAATCTATTGATCTGATTGTGTTTCATATATAAGAAGAGAAAGGGAGGAGGATAAATAGTACTTCTCCACTAGACTCTAAATATTGTAGGTATGGTATTTACTGTAGTCTATAATAAATATTATGGATAGTGTTAGCTACATTTAATGATCTCAATACTCTTCCTCGCTCATCATAATATTTATATAATATAAAATTTGTATAGAATTATGATCTATGTTTTTTTATGATCTTATAAGATCAATAATTGTTGCCTCATTAAAACCTTATCTAGGAAAACCTTATTGTATTTAAGGACAAAATCATAGATGAAGGAAAAAGAGTACATCATTTTCTTTAATTATCTAAAGAGCTCATTAACTTTCTTATTCAAGAAAAGCAAGTCGCCGCATACCAATGCCATAAGTAAGTTGACAATAGTTGTACAATGGGAGAGCTTTGGTGAAGAAATCAGCAAGGTTATTTGTAGATTCAATTTTCTTAGTTATAAGTGCTTGATCAGTAATCAAGTTATGGATGTAACTAAAATACTTTGGATCAATATGCTTTGTCATGTCGCCTTTAATGAAACCAACTTGCATCTGAGTAATACAAGCACTATTATCTTCATACAAGATAGTTGGAGAATCATCATATGAAAATCCACAAGTTGTTTGAATGAATTTATCAATTGATCGCAACCAAATACATTCTCGAGATGCTTCATTTAAGGCAATAATTTTTTCATGGTTGGATGAAGTTGCAGTTATTGTTTGTTTCATTTATTTCCATGATATTGCAGCTCCATGTCTTAAAAATATATATCCTATTTAAGATTTAGCTGTTGCAGTATTAGATTTATATCTTGCATCACAATATCCAATCAATTTTGGATCTGCAGATTGTGTGTACTATAATTTCAAGTCTTTAGTACCTTTTAAATAACGTAATAAATGTTTGATGCCATTCTAATGTCATAGTGTTGGATGAGCACTATGTCTGGCAAGAACACTAACTCCAATGAAATATCTGATCTTGTAGATGTATCTAAATACAAAAGTGCTCCAACCGTTGCGAGGTATGGATATTGATCTTCCAATATTTCCTCCTCCTCCTTGCATGGACGGTATGGATCATGACCATCACGACCATGTTCAACCATTGGTGTGGACAATGGATAAGCATCAATCATATTAAATCTTCGCAAGATTCGTCTAATATATATTAGTTGGTATGATATATCCATGCATAATGTACCTTCAATTCTTATGAAAAACAATCTTGGAATTAGAAGGAATAAGAACAAATTGAGTAAAGAATTATCTATTTTGTATTATGCAACAGATGATATTTGGGACAGACCATCTATTACAGAAGATGAATTATTTGCATATATGATTATAGAAGCCCTTCCTTGCGAAGAAGATGATCTTGAACCTCAAACCACCAAGGAGGCAATGTGTTGCTTTGATTGGTTAAAATGAAAAACTACTATTGAGGAGGAGTATGTCTCTTTGCGTAAGAGGAAAGTATTTGGTCCAATTGTAGACACTCTTACATCTCGCCATGTGGGATATAAGATGGTATTAATATGGAAGCAAGATGCTCAAGGTCAGATAATCTGTTATAAAGATCATCTTGTTACATAAGGATTTACTCAATGATTTGGCATTGATTATAAATACATATATTTTCCAGTCATGGATTCAATTACATTTTGATATATTATTGGAATGACAGTTCATGCCACCCTTGAGATGCATATGATGGATGTAGTAATTGCATAACTATATGGTTCTCTTAATGCAAATATTTATATGAAAGTGTCGAAAATGAGCTCATGTGCTGAAACAATTTCAAGAAAAGAAGGGCAGAGGCATATTAATGCTACAGCATGTAAAACTACATGATCCTACATAGATGTAAGTAAATTTGCGTGAAGGAAAAGAAGTCGGATAATGAGATGTATACGCTTTATAAATGACTCTGTAAGTCCATTTTGAGCATGTTCATATGGAACATAATATGCCAATTCAATTCCTATTGCAATATAATAGTCTTCAAAAGACTTTGATGCAAATTCTTTTGCATTATCCATACATAATGTTTTTATAGGATAATTAAGAAAATAAACCTAAAAACAAATAATTATAGATATAAGATTGGCAAACACCATGTTTCGAGTTGATAATAATGAAACATGTGATTGTTTACCTGATACATCAACAAGGACCAAAAAATAATGAAATGGTTCCAATATTAGATTAATAGGACCACAAATATCACCATACAATCTTTCAAGCATTAATAGTAATTCTTGTGGAAGTTTCCAAATTGAAGGCTGAGTAATCATTTTACCTTGCACGTATGCACGACATAATTCCATAGAGTCTACATTTGCAGGCTTTAAATTGTGCCTAGTTATACATGGAATGATCTTTCTAAATAATATAGATCCTGGATGTCCCAATTGTCCATGCCAGAGAAAAACACGACTCTCTGTAATAGATGATACAAAATTAAATATAATAGGAGGCCGAATCACAATTCGGTATAAACCATTTTTTGTAGCAAAAGCTTTTTCAACAACTTTATGATTCTTTGCAAGAACTAAAACCTCTTTTCTATTTAAAATGGCGGTGAAGAAGTGATAACCATTACTATGTACATCTTAGTAGCTAATCAAACTCCGAGGTGTTGAAGGTGCAAACCTCGCATGGTTACATTTTATGATGGAACTCGCAAGTAATTTTACCATCACTATGCCCTCTTGGAAACAAAACGCATTTGCTCTAGCCATGATCATCATATTTTTAGTTTGTCAAATTGAAGATTTTTCAATAAAAAATTGTCTATCTTGTAAGATAGTATGTGTTGTTGGAGAATCAATGAGCACATCATTTGATTCATCATTAGAGGTTTTGTCATTCATATAAGCCTCTAAGTCATCAATACCAATTGAATCCATCGACGCATCTATGGTATGAACTTCATGAGCCTCAGCTCGTAGTTTCTTATTTTTTTGGAATATTTTAATAAAATGTTGTGAAGTATGATACGCATGTGCTAAATGTCCAATCATTCCATACTTATGACAAGAACACATCTCTGATTTTTATTTTCTACTATAATTAATAGTAGAACATTTATTCTTTTCATATGGCTGGAAATGGTCATGACTATGACTACCCTGATACTTATGAGCTCGTTTTCCATATTGATATAATTTTTTCTTAGACTTTGAAATATTAAGTGCATGAAATTTTGGAACTGTAGTTCTAATAAGACGAGCTTCCGCATTACGCAAGAGTAGGTCATTTTGCTTCTCCGCAAGAAGTAGATAGGACATGAGATTAGAATAGCTCTGAAATTTCATGTTCTTGTATTGTTGTGCAAGCATAGCAGATACAAGAGGAAATATAGAGAGAGTTTTCTCAATCATTTCTTCTTTAGAGATGCTTTGTCGATATAATCGTAATTGTGAGACAATACTATATATTTTACTACTAAAAGCATTTAAATTTGGAAAATCTAAGATATGTAAATGTGTCCAATTATGACATACGCGTGGAAGAAAAATGGTCTTTTGATGATCAAACGTGGATTTAAGATTCTTCCAAAGTTCTATAAGATCTTCCATTTTCAAGTATTGATGTTGTAATGCAAGTATAAGATGATGGCGAAAGAGAAGAAGTGCTTTCCAACGAATAGCAGGAGGAATAGAAATACTTATTTTAGGAGATTCTTCAAACATAATGGCATCCAAGAGTTGTTCTGCAAATAAATTTACTTTTGCCATTTTTTCCCATAATAGATAATTATTTCCATCCATAGTCAATAGTGAAAATAAAAGAGCTTAAAAATGTTGGGATGCATTGGTAATAATTGGAACCATAGTAAAAGAAGTTGAAGATATTGAAGCACTCATCATAAATAAATCTGTAAAAAAAATACAAGATCAAGTAGAAAAGTTGAATAAAACGTATCTTAAAATATAAAATCAAATGAAATGATAAACTTGAACTTTAAAAATAAAAATATTAATTTAATTTAATTTAATTTATTATTATTATTATTATTATTATTATTTTTTAAATATTGTTGTAGATTAAAGCAGCAAAACAG